GGAGACATTGCAAGAAGAAGAATGCAAGCAAGTGTTAAGCTAAGATTTTTATTATTTTTTTATTTGCAATGCCTTGACTGGGTTTAGGCAAAGATAGTTAATTGATGTCAACCCCTTAATCTGAAACACTGCTACAAAAATAAAGTTTATAACGTGTCATTCCAATTTAATATAAGAAGATATTTAACAGTCTTGCTTCTTTAGAAGGAAGTAAAAAACCTTGTAGAAACATGCATCTATGGTTCCAGTTAACATAGCATTCATTCCATTTTTAATTTAAACTTTCCATTTTAATTTGAATGTATTTTTAGTTGTGGCCTACTAATACAATCTGCAACTAAATATCTTTAAAAAAAACAACAACACAAAAATATGTGCAAGTTTGAATTTTTGGGGCATTTTCTCCAATCTATTAATGGTTATAAATAGACATGCAGCTCTTTCAATTCTTTTCTGAACGCCTGTTAACAAGTTTCACTTCAGGCACACAAGATTTTGTAGCCATTACCAGAAATTGTTAGAGTTTATTTAAATAGTTTGTTCTGTTTATGGTGTGGAACCAGCTTTCAATCATTTACTAGTGGGAACAAGATCGGTCCTTTATTCTACCCAAAATATACACCCGCGGCCTGAAACTCTACCACCAACCAATATCCTTGACCGTTTTTGTTTTTTTTTTACACCATGATTATGTCTGAAAACATCATGTCATCATGGCCAAACAACAACTTTTTTATCCATTCTGACTATAAAACCCTTCCATAGAAGGCATTTGGTGGTCTGTTTTGATGAAACAGTTGAATATTGGAAATAATTGGGTGTCGTTGCAGAGCTGTGATCCCAAACGCACCTCCAAAACTAGTTTTGAAGCTGGTTTAAAGTAAGCCCCTGGATTGGCCCCAACTTTATAAAAAACAAAAAGGTTCCAGAAAAATAACCAATTTGAACAAGCTGAAAAGCTTCTGAAGAAAAGAGATGTTATATATTCAGTAGTTATACCAAAAGCTTTGTAATGTCTGCAAAAGCATATAGTATCTCTGCAGATTAGAAATTGACATAATCAAAATTCCAGTAGTATATGTATATTTAGTATATTTAAGTCGTTAAGCAAATTTTTGATAAGGTACAAATTCACTGTGAACTCAAGCTTTGCACCCAGCTCTAGTTTTAAATAATTAAAGCTTTATATTCTGGAAAAGAATCATCAAAGCCCCCAATGAACATGAGTGCCCATAATGAGTGTATATAAGCAGCTGTACACAATTGAATTAGATATTCTCTAGCAGATGTCTGTGTGTGTGTCTGAGAACCATTTTCAGCTGTTTGAACATTTAAAAAATCTGAAATATGTGCCTTATGTGACTAATGCCTGTTGTTGGTGAACAGTTGAGGGTTAAGCTCCATATGTGTGTGAGCAGAGCCATCTAGTGGAATGAAACTGTATTGCATGCTGTTGAACAATCAGCGACAGACTTTTAAAGTCTTGTAAAAATTCTTGTAAAATTTACAGTGTTTTTTTTTCAACTACTTTTATTTATTTATGTTCTGTAAATGTAAAGTTTTAGATGTTATTTCTTGTTCATTATTTTTTATCTTATTTGTGGCAAACTTGGAGTGTGTTAAATCTGGGTTTATAATCTAGGCCTTCAGTTGAATTGAGTTTTATTTTCACCCGTTGGGTGATGTGTAAAAAGCTTATTATTAAAAGATGATGTTATTGGAGCTGTTTTACTGCAATGCATTTATGTCAAACCCTAGCTTTAATGTGAGATATTATTGAGTGGTGGAAAACCAACTTTAAGATCAACTATTTTTAGAACAACCCCCACCACCATCAGCACATTTCACAATGAAAAACAGCAGTTTTTGTAAAGACATTGATTTTTTGGGGGGGACACCAGTAGGTTTGGCTGTCAGTTATTACATTTAATTCAAGATTAAGACAAATAAATTAAAACTCTCTGTTTGTGACATTAACGTATATGTAAAAACCTTTACAGGGCTGTCTTTAACGACGACTTGATAAGTCAGAACAAGTTCTTTTTAATTTAATTTTGATCAAATGGATTTTCTGTGCAATACTGAGGTAAATTATAATTAAAACTAATAAGCAGTCAGTTCTTTTTTTTTATATGTTTGCCTTGAAATATCTTTTTGAGTGGCTGTCTAGCACTTGTTCAATAGAATAAGGGTCGAGAATCAAAATGCTCAGCATTTGTTTACCTTTTTGCAGTGATTCTTTTACTTTTAATTAACCATAAGGTTATTTATGGTGCGATTATCTTGTGGTTTTATGTACATTTGTTAAATGAACAGATATATGCATTGTGAAAGCATTTTCTTATGCAATTTACAACTGATCGATATTTTTCCAAGGACAAGTTTGTGTTATTCTGATCTGTAATAACATTAAATAAAGCTGAATTTTCAATTTTTTTCTTCTGATAATATAGTAATTTGTGTTGTCTGTTTGATTCATTGCAAGATATTTATATGTTTTGTAAAAAATATACTTAAGTGTTAAATAAGATGTTGATAAAACATATTATAAGCTATTTATTATGCAGTTAATGTCTGAGACCTGTTAGACTAGCAAACAATTAAATAGTACAGCATTTCTATTATGTTAAACTAATCTGAATCTGACTTATTAAGAGCTTCAGTGTTTCTCCAAAATCAAAGAAGAAATAAAGATATATGTCACCTTTTTGGGGAACGACGGCCTAGTGGTTAGGGCATAGAGCTTGGAATTCTGAGGTTCTGGGTCCAAGCCCCACTCCCATAGATTGCCACTCTGGGTCCCTGAGCAAGACCCTAAACCCCACACTGTTCCCCGGGCGTCCCACGATGGCAGCCCACTGCTTCCCAAAGGGATGGAGTAAATGCAGAGGTAAATTTCTCCAATGTGAGATCAATAAAGTTCAATTATTATTATTATTTGTGGATGTGATACACTGTGGAAATATTTTGAATTCACACGAGTTAGGTATGCCAAAACATAAAAGCTGCAGTCTACTGATTTTTTCTCATTATTTTAAAAGGAAGTGTCCTACTATGGAAAGTTTTACTCAAGCTCCAACTTATTAAAGATGAGTCACTTGTATTTTTAATCTTAACCAGGTTTTTGGATAAATGCGTAAGCTCAGCCACTCTTGTAGCTTTACTTCTAGGGCTCTAGATGGGGTTATTGAGCTAATGATTATGTTTGGTAGACAACTCCCTTGTCTGTTGAACAATCTGCTGTCACAAACAATTAGATTTAAGTGGATTATAAGATTAATACAATGTTTAAAATGTAATGCTTTACTACATTGTCTTACAAAGGTGTTCTAATGACTTTATTTATTTTTTTTTTGACTTTAACAGTCAAACTCAAACTATTAATAATTGTATAAATTCATTTTTAGAACCAAATTTCAATGCAAATGCAGCTGAAAACATGTTAGGATGTGCTTCTTCATGCTTTGCTTTTTTTTATTTAGCAAAACATTTTAAGCTCAACCAGTGAGTTGACTCTAGCACGTCAATTTCAAGACTTGCTAAAGATTTTCCGTTCAGTTTAGACCCAGACTTTGACTGGGTTATTGTAGCACATAAATATCATTTTCTCTAAAGCTTTTCTTTGTAGTTCTGGCTAAAGGCTTAGGATAAATGTTCTGAAAACTGATTTATGTTTAACCGATTCAGGTTTTTAGAACTTTAGAATAATAAAGTTTCTGGAACACTTAAATTATGGTATGACCAGATTTTTTAAAAGTTTTATTCATGACACAAAGGTAATTTGTGTCCTCATTTTTCTTTCCTTTACACATTTTATTGGAAACAGTTTTATTAAGATTTTTTGCAAATCACCCTGACATACTGGTTATCAACTTAAAGGTTTAAATCCAGACATATTTTTGTATTCATGCCTACCCCACAAGTTGATGTCCACTTCATTATCACTGTTGTCTTTTAACATATACTCTACCATGCCGGAGAGATTAGGTTTGTGCATGGGTTATTTCAATCCAATACTCCTGGAGAATATTTGTCCCCACTCTTTATTCCTGTCAGGCGTCTTACGTAGAATGGTGAATAAAACCAATCCATTTAATTGGGTACTAAACATTATTCAGAGGCCACACAGAACGTTTTTCTGTTTTTTTTAATATGTCTCTAACTTGAGAGAAAATTACTTTCAACATTTTGTGTACTTCAGACAGAATGTCAAAGGTTCTTAATGTTCTTCTTTGGACAGAAGTCAACCAGTCTCATGGTTAAAGTACAAGGAATAAAGTCCTCACATTTCCCCAGGGACTCTTCAGAATAAAGCTACATAGGAATGTAAACATATAATTTAGATTGCCTGATATAAATCAGCTCATCTGATGGCTAATATTTGGTATTTCTATAATCTTTGGCTCACATAAAAATGTTTATCATGTTGAATTTGTAAGAGGATACAATTGAGAGAAACATGTTGAAAATGGAAGTTAGTACCAAAATAAATGATAAATTCCCTATCCCTGTAAATAGCAAATGCCGTCCTCTCAACCTGGGGGTCCATTCCCAGCTGGTTCTGCAGAGAACTATCTAATTTACTCACAAAGTTTACTAAATGGCCTAAAGTTAATCACAGGGAAATAAAAAGAATATTGCCAGAAGTTGATATTTGGAGTTGCTACTGTCCCACCCATAAATGTTCATTGCAATGAGGAGCCTTGATGAAAATCAACCTTAAAAATCATTATTTCATTTGATGGTGGAAACATTTAAAAATGGTTTCATACACTACATTTATGTACCTGTTTACAACCCTGACACAATATTAATGTATATATTTATTTTATTTTTAAAGAAGACATAATGAAAACCATAGACTGTTTTGGGGGTGGGTTACGCCAGCATTTCATATTAGAATCGTGGAGTAACCTGTTTTTATCACAACTCTACCGACGCGTCGTGAACGCATCATGCGCGCCTTATTTACGACCTAATCCCCGGTACTTGAACGCAGCGCCATGGCCTGCTGCAGTCTCTGACGTATTCGACAGTTTTCGGCTCGTATTTCACCTGCAGCAGAAGCCAAACAGAGGACAGGTGTTCTACTAAATGACCGGGTCCTCCATGAGAGCGAGCTGTTTTATTTAAAATCAGTCAGCAGCTGTAAAACCACCATGAGGCTCAGGTTCAGCCGTTGGCAGAACAAGAAGAGCGACAGCTGCGGCTGGCGGCTCCAGCAGCAGACGCTTCACATGTAAGCTGCTCTCTCTCCTCCGGAGCTGGTTCGTTTTATTTTTTTACTCCCTTGTTGTGATATTTTAACTGCCGTTTACCGCTGGGTACCTTTTTTAAATCTTCATGGACTGAGTGTAAAAACAGCAACAGCCGGAGCTTTAACAGAGGAGGAGCGTTCATCTCTACGGTTTATTAAGGCGCAGCAGAGACAGGGACTCTACACCCAGACGGACAGGAGTCAACATGTTTGAGGGCAGAGGAATCCCCTTTGTTGTGCTCGATATAGCCTGTCTGATTCTAGGTATGTGTGTTTACACCTTTAATTCTCTACTGTGGACTCTTTGTTGCCTTGGTAACCATATAAGCTGCTTTGTGTTCGGGTTTAATCTTCATTCTGGGCTTTTTAAACAGCTTACCATCACGTGAAGGGAGTGAGAAACCTCCAGGACTGAGTGCTTACTATCAAGTAACATGTTTCATGTTCTATATTATAGTTTCAAGATTGTTTGAAGCTTTTATACTCTCTCTTTTTTTGAATGACATAATAATTAGACGCAGAATGACAGCAGCCAATAGCCCGAGGCATGAGTGAACTTTGCGTCCAACAAATTTCGATCAGAGGGCGTTGAGAACACGTTTTTTTTTTTTTCTTGGACAAAATACCCATGTGAATATAGACCTAAACTACAGTAAATAAAAATAGTAATAGTAATACTGCATCCAGGGTCTGTAACACAGAGACATTAGTAATCATATTAATTATTAATTAGTTCTCAGGTGAATATATGTACTATTTTTTAAATTTCGTAATAAAAAAACGTTAATTGGCCTTACGCCAATTTGAAAAGCCGCTGTTCTGTCAGACCAGCATACCTATAGTCAGTACGCATTAGGGGTGTAAATCACACCCATCATGGCGATTCGATTATTTTCGATACTCAAGAATACACCACGATACGATTTGATTAATTGGTTCATTTTTATTTATTTTTTTTTACCTTACAGGCTAGACAATGTTTCAAATTTGAAATAAATGAATGAAAGCTGTAATATCGTTGTGCATTTATTTTAGAAACAACAGCAAATAACAGAAGTAGAAAAGTTGCAGTCCACCTAGGCCTATTAAAACCTCATTCACTGAAAAATAATAATGCCCTTGCGCTGTAGATTCTGAAAGGCCTTGCATCAAAAAATACTGCACAAAATCAGTGCAATGCAATACCTCGCCGCCCCCTCCGCAGACGCTCCGCCGCACCTCTCCCAAATTGTAGCTGACCGCAGTGCAGCAGACAGGAGGTCGGCTTGTTTTGTTTTTATGACCGAAATTGTGGAAAACGACTCGTGAAGTTTCACCCGCTAGAAGAGCGAGGCGCGCGAAAACGCTGGGACCCTTTTTCAACCTGGATCCCTGCTCTTTTTGGCCCTCATGTCCCTCCGTTGTCGGACTACTCACCCACCCACCACTTCCTCTCCGCCTCGGCCGTAAGACCCACAGCATATAGTGCAGACCATGCTTCAATATTGGGCATAAATCAAAAATGTCTATGTCAAGCTCACTGTGAGACACTGCTGCAGGAGTTTAACCAGGAAGCGAGGTAGGAGGGCAAAATAGGTTTAGCACCACTGCAGCACGGGAGGGAGAATTACACCCAGGAGCAAATGGATTTAAAAAAAGAAAAAAAAAAATACATGAATCGATACTCTTGCGGACGTGTTGATGCATCAGATCGTCGGCTGTTGGATCGATACAAAACGATTATTATTTACACCCCTGGTACGCAAGACGTCAGATTTGCATAAGCGTATGCTAGTCCAGTTTATCCCTCTAATTTTGTACGAAAAATACACTTTAAAATTAGCCTAGTAAACTAGCCCCACCCACCAGCGGCCAAAATAATTTTTGCCTGCGAGTCTAGCCTTAATCAATGCTCCAGGGTCTGGAACTGGCAGTCCAATTACAACGCAGAGATGTGTTTTGAATTTCTGGATGCCAAGTGGGCGTGGTTTGAGGACGTGACAACAAAGCTGCACAACGCTGGAGAAAGCACAACAAGGAAGATATCAACAACTATTGAACATTTTTCGTTTGACTCAGCTTTGGAATCAGTTTTGGAAGGATTAGACTTGGGATTTTCGTTAAAACATAAGCAGGAAGAGACTCTATGCTCATTCATTTTTGAGAAGGACGTATTTGCCGTTTTACCAACAGGCTGTTTGTTTACACTCCCCCACCAGCTTTCTGTCGCGCTTATTACGTCACAGTCAGTTGCGCTCATTGCTCAGAGCGTTGGCCAATAGGAACAGACATGGTTTGAAAAACAATGGGTTGTTCTCATCCACAATTTTACGATTTCTCATTCATCGGGACCAGACTAAATTACACATTTAACCTCACATTTAGTCTGGAGATCTGACCTTAATTTTTTTTGTATATGACTTAAAGGGATACACCCCTGTTGAGGTAGCTTAAAGTTTATTTTTCATACAAAACCAAAGGGATAAACGGGGTTAAAGTAAAACTAAAGGGATTAACAGGTATTGACTATAGGTATGCCGGTCTGACGGGGTATGCTGATGTGACAGAACACCGGCATTCACGAAGGGGTTTTCTTTAATTTGTTTCTAGGAAGGACTTTTTTCTGACTTCATAGTAGTACAATAAGACAAGTCAAAATAATTTCCAAAAATATTCATTAGAAATGTAAAAATTGTGCAATTTATTTTTAATACATTTTTAAAAACCCTGCCTCTCGCCTCTAGGGGGTGCTACAGTGTCCCCACTTCCTGCGGCTATGCAAATATATTTTAACAGATTGATAGCCTTGTATCTTTATTAATTCTGCCAAAACTTTCATCATCATATTGTACTGTTTAATCTCGTTTCATTTTAATTGTACACTTAGCATGTGTGCTGTGTGTAGCTCCCTGAGCAGATAGCTGGACTAATTAACCAGCTGTTGAAGTCAAAACCAGTCTCATGCAATGTTATGTTTACAGTTGTGATAATATTTGTTCTCATTTTTTGTCTTGGGTAGAAGAAATCAGCTTATATTAAATACTATTTTTGTTTTTACTCAAGGTGACTATACCAGCTGATCCTCACCCCAGAATGTGCCTATAACAAAGTCCTAATTTAGAGCTAATTGATTGTTTTTTCATTGGTAATCATTGTATGCTCACTGAAAGGGTTTGGAGAACAATCAGGGAGTATTTTACTTTTTTTCCCTGCCTTTATTTTCTAAACTCAAAGTCTGGCTAACAGATTGTCAGGGGTTGTCATTTATGGAATTCCAACAACAAAAGTCTAATAGTTATTAGACTTAGTTATTAGGCTTTACATTGTTAAAAAAAAAAAAAAAAGTATTAGTAGACAGTGAGATTGTTCTTCTTATGCTTATATTTTTCTCATAGTAGTCAGAAAAAAAATACCCATACTGGTGTGAGCTGCAGAAAAAAATATCACCTGACCTAGAAATTCCTTTCATTCTTTATTTAGATAAAGGACAATCTATATCCTTTATCTTTTACTCTATCCACCCTGTATCTGTATCATTTGGCATGTTTAAAAGCAATCATTTCCCAAAGTTTAACAAATGGTGTCTGATGTGTTTGTCAATCTTTTTTTACACTGTTTGCTCACTAGTTACTTGTGAAACAACTAAAGATGTTGGACCTTGGACCAGCTCTTGACTACAACATTGTTTGTTTTATCATTAAGTGTTACCATTTCCTGATGTTTGCACTCACATGAGGAATTTCTGGGTCTCTGTAGAGCATGATCTTACTTTTTTTTAAAGTGCTCGTGGGAATTCCCTGACATTAAGAGAACATGATGCTTAGATGTTGCTTCGAATCATTTCACCAACTCGGTTTGCTTTTTTTCCCCCCTCAAACCGAACCACAAAGTCTGTAACATGAAGCAAAACAACCGAAGATAGGTGTGTGCGAATCTAGTTTTAATGTAGATGCTGAAGTGCTGTGTTACATTATCTGCAATGGCTGATATTGAGTCATTATATATACTTAACTGAAGTGCTTAGAGTGCTGATCTGTCTCTATAAAGGGCCGATTCACTGTTAGACTCTGAACTAAGCAATTAACCCCTTTTCTTCTTCTTGATTTGAAACTATTTGCTGGTTCTTAATGTGACCAAAAAGGAGTAGTCAACACAAGACCCTAAAACAGAAAACCAATCTTTTTGTTGTTGTTTTAAGCTAATAAAATAGTAAAAGATATTAATTAGCTATGAGTTTTCTTATAGTCATTTATTGATGCATGGTGAGTAAGAGGAAAAAGTGTGTGCTTACAGTCACTATGTTTATAATCTGAGTCAGCTATCTTATGACGGGGATTTATCGGTCTGTTCCAAGGTTTAAACTGCTTCTCTCACAAACACTGAGCTAGAATTTAAACCTGGCAGCACTAAAGGCTGTCAGAGATCGTCAAATGGGCCACAACTCAGAGACGCCTTTTCTAAACTTTCCAAACAGTCCTGAATAAGTGCAGTTATGTCTTTTTCAGCCAGCTGAGTGGTCATGTTCAGCAGCAAGTTAGAGATCAACTCCAGTGCTGCAAATGTATAAAACTCTATAATGTGATATTTTATGTGAAAGTATTATTTAAACCTTGTTATTACCAGTTTATGCCTGTGCAGCAGGGGTGTTATAAGTTTTTTGTTTTACTCCAAGCTGATGTTAATGTTAGGAAAGTTTTCCAGCTCAATGAGTGACAAGTGTGTCCCAAACTCACTCTACAAAATAAATCTTATTATTAAAATATAACTGGGGATCTTTGGCAATTTGTCTCCAGGTTTGGGGGTCACGCTTTACTGCATAGATGTGTAATAAACTATTAAAATGAATACATAGGAACAACGGGCCTGCACATTATGCCCCCAAATAGAAATATATAAAAGGGCTTAAAATGTATTCATTCTTCCTAAAACAAGACATTTTGTTGGTAAGATTACTCCAATGAATGCTGTTCTTTATTAGTGCAATGAAACAAATGTAAGTGGTGGATTTTTATCATTTAGATTTTACTGTTTTATGTTGATTTTTTAAATTTTTTTTCTCTTTAATAGATGTTGTAATTTGACTCAGAGGCCTCTTTTCAAAATGGGAATCACAAGAGGAGATGCTGTTCAAGCAAGGCAGATAGTTTTGCACACCAGAGGTGCAAATCATTTTGGGTGCGCTCTAAATGAAATTAGGATGAGGATGATTTTAATAAGTTTGTTTCACAGAGAGCTGAGAAGACAGCACTGGCCCTGTTGAGCTGACATAGCTGAAATAATCTGCTTAATGAAGTTACTGCTGGCTGCCCGGCCACTGACACCACAGTTAAATAAACCAGTGTTTGTGGATGATGGGAAAGACCTGATATGTGGGATTAAACTATTAAAAGACTGATGTTAAACTAGTTGTCTTAGTGTCCCTGTCCCACCTGCTTTATGATGCCCGTCTGCTTGTAGTTCATTAGTAGTTGTCGCAACTCAACTATTGACTTGGCCTCCGCTTGGATGATGATGAGGTCTCTTTACTGGAGCTCAATGGGTTAAATAGGACAGAGAGATGACAGCAGCTTTGCCAGCAGACTTTGAACCGTCAAATCCAATTAGCTGGATCTTTTATCTTTATGGTATTTTATCTGTAGGGAGTGTTGTGCTATGCAGCTATTTGATTTTGAACAATCGCCTCTCAGTACTTTAATAAAGAAGAATAAAGAAAGCTGGTTTCTGCAGTCCGTACAATACGGTTTGTTTTTTTCCCTTTGACTCATAAAACTGCTGATTGAAGACAATAATGCCTACATTTTGTGGTTTCTGACTATAAAAGTATTTATTCTCATTGCTAATAAACTAAGCATCCATTAGTTGATCCTGTAGATTTTGGGTTTCCAAAGCCTGCTCCTCTCTAGAGAACATAATATTCTTATCACACTTTATCACCGAGGGTGTGTGTTTTTGGCCCAAAAATCATCCCTGAAATCTGTTCCTTAAACCCAGCTGGTGTGTGAATACCAGAAGGCTTTGTGGATTTTAAATGTAGATTTTTTTTTTTTTTTTTTTAAACAGTTGAACACAATTTCAACAAAATTGTTCTAATCCAGTAGCCATACTGCTACTGGATTAAAAAAATAAAAGCATGTGGGTTAAGGAAAAAGGATCGTGAATACAATTAATCGGATTAATCGATTGTTTAAATAATCGTCAACTAGAGACTCTAAAACGTGCCTTTCGCTGAAAGAGCGACCCATGTAGAGCAGCAATTATATCAAGATTGTTAAAAAAAAAGTCAACATTATACATTTAAGAAAATAACTTTTATGTCTGTCATTACGCTCTATCTAGAACTCAATTGAAAAAGTTTTTAGTTTTACCTGGTTTAATTTTGTACAAAGTCTTCTTTAAAGGTAAAGTGGAGGATGTTCTTTTTCCAGGTGGATTATCAAAATAAGTGGTCCTCCTAATTGTCAATCATTCTGGTGACATGTTTACATAAGGCCGTCCTACGTGCTCGTCCCCATTTTCACTTAGCGGTGGTGAGTCTGACATAGTGGAAAAACTGCAAATCTTGTTTTGGAAATTAAGCTTATATGAGCGATGCAAACAGCAACTTTTAAACAGAGCGTGCTCAAGGAGAAATGGGCTCTCATACGCATTTTATAGGTGTTCCCTCTTGGGAGCAGGTACAGGGTGGTGCATGTGCATTTTCTTTTTTTTTTTAAATAGAGAGGATGGGTCTTTTTTGGAAAATGTGCAATAATCTTCTATACCTTCAAGTAAACTTTTGCTATCCAATTATTAATAAAAAATTAATCAACAGATTAATCGATTTGCAAAATAATTGTTAGTTGTGTCCACACTCTTCATTAAAACAGGTCTTTATCACATTTTCACAAAATAACTTAAGGTTTGACAAATTCCAAACAGGTTTTAATATAGACTCCTATGAGCATAGAGCTGGGTTCTCCAACCCTGGTCCCGTTAGTTTTTAGAAGCATCCCTGCTTGAACACAGCTGAATCAAATAAATGGCTCGTTACCAGACCCAAATATGATGGCATTCTGAAAAGGTAATAGAGTCTGCCTTAACTGGGCCCTTTGAGCTCTGTCAAAAGAAGGAGGCTAGAAGAGTTTTGGCTTTGGATTCAAACGGGTCCAGCCTTCACCGCCCGTATGCTCTGTCGCCTAGCAACTGCAACAGTTGACACACAAAGCAGGCGAAGAATGGATATCATACTACTGTTCTGAGTGCTAATAACATTTTCGAGGAGCTTCAGCAGCAGTACCATCATTGCAAATATCAGAGTTACTGTCACCAAACTGCAGAGATATTGGAATCTGTGTTTAAATGTCAGCCTAACCCATTTGCACAGGGACAGATTAAACCTTTCAACAAACCATTACTGACCACATATCTGACTCACTAACCATTTAAAGGAAATATTTTCATTAATTTCAGAAGAAACTATTCACATACTTGTATTATATTAAACTGCATTTCGCATGACAAGGAGTTTTCCAATCTAGACAGAAGGGGTGTGGGGGAAGAAATACATTTCACAATATATCGTAATGTTTCAGTAGTCCGATATAGTATCAATCTTTCAGGTTCTTAATATCATTAAAATAAAAACATGTTTACCTAAAACAATGAGGGAAAATAGGCAACGGGCTACCTCTGCACCACTACTGTGGTAGATGGCCCTGTGGAGCTCTTACCCTGTGCGGCGCAGCGCCATAACTGTAGTTGAGGCAGTCACACTGGACGTGAACTGACTCAAACCCCAAACAACATAGAGACAAAAACAACTAAATGATCAATATGTTCTGATGAAAATCGTTTGCCTTTTTTCTATACTTTTAATTTTGATAGCTGGGAAAAATATCGGAATATATAGTGATATTGCAATATGTGATATCGTATTGTCAGCCAAGTATCGTGACACATATCGTATAGCAAGACCAAGGTCGATACTCAGCCCTACCGAACAGGCCTCGGCACCAAACTATGACTGAATCGGCCTCCGAATCGGGCCTCCTGAGGACGGAGCCGCTGGACTCAGCAAAAGTAATTTAAATTAGCTTTGTTGGAGCAGGGATTCATCTAAAATCTGTAGGATGGTAAATCTTGAGGACCAGGACTGGAGACCCCAAGTTACTCTAGAATAATACAATGCAGGTTGGTGGAGTCTAATTATATTTTGATCTTTTGCTAGAGTGGATTACAGATGACTAAGGTGGTGAAGGAAGTGGTGGAATAGTCCTCTGGACGTTTTCAAATTCAAAAGCTGCATTCAACTTCAGCTTGGTGCGTCTATTCTAGTGGATGATTAGTTAAAACATGCTATCCAATGCTAACACCAGGCTATCTGTGCTAATGAACAGCAGAGGAAGTAGGTAATCGGGTTAGAGGCCAGGCTCTCTAAAGCTCCAGCCTATCAATAATCAGAATAGTAGCTGGCATCAGAATGGATGTAACCTCCTGCTCTGAGGAAATGGGCGCCACTGGGTTCACATTAGTGCTCATTTTGGCACTAATACTGCATCATACATTTTCTGTGCTGCGTCACTGTCACATGACCAGCCCCCTCAGAAACACAAACAGCAACAAGATGTAAATAAACATGGTTATTAATATTGACTCAGCTCTTCCCCATCACACTCATACTTGTTCGCTGAAAACCATGAGCCAGTAGTTTTGTTGATGCCGATTACTCATTTATCCCTAGATAGCACTGCAGGCTTCTGTTTTGACATAATCTCTTTACTCAAATAACATGTTATGTTTGCAGCCTTTATTTTGTAAACCGCTAACTTCATCCTGTGGTAACCCGTCCCGATCTCTCCTCCACAGGGGGTCTACCTCTGGCAATCTTTAACCTGGGTAAGATCCGTCCTTACCAAATGGGCTTTTTCTGTAGCGATGACAGCATCAAGTACCCTTTCCACCACAGCACAATCCCCTCCACTGTGCTCTACACTGTGGGCCTCGGCCTGCCTATTAGTTCTGTAAGTAGTAGTCACTCCTGGCAGCCTGTCTCAGAGTGCGTATGTTGACTTGTCAAACACCAGCGTAACACATGTGCTCCAAGGAGTGCCGAGGCCATTGCCCCAGGTCAAACGTCGCTAATTCATTTAGTTATTGGCTACACTTAACTTTTTCCTGGTTTGGCAAGTCAAAAGACCTACTTAGAGGCTTTTCTGAGCTGATAAAGCTGCACTATAGTGAAAACTTCTCAGATAATAATGCTCTGTATATTCTGATAGCTAAGTGTGGTTTAAAAAAAAAGCTGAGAGCGAAGGAGGATGTCCACTTAAAAACATCAAGGAATGCAATAAATTAAAAAAGGATTTAAAAATCAGTAAAGTCAACTATTTGTTGAAGAAGCAAAGGATGTGTGTCTGGACATGGAGGACACACAGCAGGCTTTATGCTCAACGGCTGCTGTTAATCACAACGACAGACACACAGGCAGCCGTACGCCGGGTTCTGGAGTCTATAACGGAAGTTGGACGGACTGCTGGCTTGTTTTTCTTTGTTTTAGTTTTCTGTAGTCGGCTCCGTTTCCCTAATTTTATCTGTGGGTTGTTACTGGTTTGGTTTTTCAGGAACTGAAGGTGCGTTTCGACTCTGAACCTTTTCCCTCTGCAACTTAATATCACTAAACCTCTTGTTTTACCCGGGCTGTTCTAGAGAAAACAAGATATAAAATTAGAGTTGTCAATGCAATATGAAGGTGGGAAATATCGCAGTCAGAAAGAACTGCTTGGATTGTAATATTTGCCAAGAAATTATAACTCATGGATAATAATTCTATTTTACTGGATGCAGAGACTAACTGCCTTTATGCCTACCGGTAAGTTATATTTATGGTAATAATGATGCAGTTGGACCATAAGGATCAAAGGTTAATGGTGAACCAATTTATTGCACAACACTATAACAACGTTTCTTGATATGGAGTCCTAATTACAATCTTTGCTAAAAGCTTTTAATGAAAGTGGAAAAACAGCTTTTAAAATTTCAGAAAACTGATGACAGCCTTAAATATATATATATATATTTTTTTTGTAAACCAGTTGAACCGGTTGAACTGCATTAGCCGCTCACACATAGACAGACAGTTGCATGGTATGTGTCTTTAAAGTTAAGATTTGCCACTGAAACAGATCTTTCCTGGTTTAAGGTTGTCTAACACGGACATATTTCGATTATTGTTTGCCTGGAAACACTATTTGGGGGAGGGAGACTCAGAAAATGTTCCCTGGTTTCTGGAAAAGTCGAAACGCACCTTTAAGTTGTTGTTTTTATGTGTAAAAGTGCATCTTGCATCTTCTATGATCAGTTCTCAGGGAGAGGAGATTTCCAAACAAACAAACAGATTAGAGGTGATTTCAGGTAAACATGGATGGTTTGGTCAGAAGCCTGTTTGGAAACTCTATCCCTGCTGCTCAGATGGGAAAGTAATCCTCTCTAACCCCATGAGACTTTCCATTAATGTGTTTTTCTCCTTTGACTGTTTGAATTAACCTTCACTCTTTACCAGCATGTGACTCCTAACCATTAACATTGTTGTTGAAAAGCTGGAAAACTACCTGGAGGGGTTGCTTCGTTCCTTTGGACCCTCTCAGCAGGCTGCTGACTTCGGCTCTCCTAAGGGACACACTGTGGCATGATGGGAGGATGTTTGGACTCCTCTTTTAACCCATATATTCTTTCTCTCTCATTGCCTCTCTGTTAGTGGGACTCCCATTTGCAATACTCAATTTGAAGCACAGGCCTTTCCTCCGAGGCTTTTACTGTAATGACGAAACGATCAAGTACCCCTTTAAAGAGGAGACCATATCCTATCAGTTGTTAGGAGCAGTTATGATTCCCACCACAGTTATCATTGTAAGTGCATTTTTTGTCTACTAACAGTTTTCCTTTCTATCTCTTCTAACAGCTGCTTTTGCCATTTGAATCAGTTTGAACCCTTTTCCATTTTTAAACCACTGCAGATTTAACCATTCTGACTAAAAACTGCATCTATTTTTTATATATATACATAAATATGAAACAGCAGGAGAGCAATGTTTTTATTCTAAGATGCATTTTCACTAAATGAATCTGAAGTTACAGGTTTAAATAATGTAGATGGAAAGTCTTCCTTTGCAGTTAAAGGGAGACTTTAGATTCCATTTTAATTTAGATCTAAAACCATTTTTTTAACATGGTATTATTGAAGCCAAAAATAATGGCATCACATGGTTCAGCTTTGCTTTGTAGTTTTATCAGATCAGTACTTTGCAGAATGGGGCGTTTGGTCTGGGCTATTTATAAGCTTTCTCTGATATAAAACTCAAACATGTATTATACTGCATCCATACATTATGGGAACTCGACATAAAGGAAAGATTTATCTGATTCAACATTATTATCATACATTATAATTTATATCATGTGGGAACAACATAAAAAAATAATATAAGCAAAAAGTAAAGATTGAAGCCTTTCATTTTTCTATATTGTAGTATACTGTTTGTTATTTTTAAATTAAAGAATCATGTAACGTCTGAATACCAATTCATTATTTCCTGTTTTCCTGCCAGATAACTATGATGTGACGCAGAGGCTCTTCTCTCTTTGGGAGAAAGGCAGGAAAACATGATTCAGTTAAAAAAGATGTGGTATAGTAAAAAAGCTATTTAATCAACAACAAAAATGATGATAAAGGAGACAAAAAAAAAATCTCCAAATAGTAAAGAACTGCTGCAGTTATCACATATGATCAAAATAATGCAAAAAAAAAAAAAGAGGATTTTTCTTACACATCTCTGACAGTTATTACATGTATTGTTTGATTAAGATGCAAATTAAGATAAGGAATAAACTTCCTAAAATGTTTAGTAAGTGGACATCTTCCTTGGATTAGATTGCTTTTTCTCCTTCTGAAAACTCTGGTTACATTGTTTAGTGTACCTTATCGCACAGACAGGAAAAAAAAACCAGCTGGTTCTGTCCAGAGTTAGGAAGACATGCTTAATTAGTGTTGATTTTAATTTAGAAACTTTATAAATATTTAGATTTGTAGCATGTCATGCTCTGTCTGTTTGCTTGGCTTTTCACAACTGCATTGATGTAAATATTCTGATTTGAAAATAACGATTCTCCAATAATCTAAATTAAAGCATATCTATCTGTCATTTGATCAACTATTTGAAATCCTAATAATGTGAAATATTTTTTTTAATAAATAAGAAATTATTTTCCTTGATTTCTTAAAGTGAGTTTTTTTCTGTTTTGCATTTTTCCTAAATGATTTTTATCCCTTCCTTTGCAGATGATCTTAGGCGAGTGCCTTTTAGTTTATCTAAACCGCCTTAAATCCAAGTCTACGTTTGGCAGCTATGTTGCCTGTGTTTACAAAGCTGTTGGTACATTTCTGTTCGGTGCCGCCATGAGCCAGTCCCTGACAGACATCGCCAAGTATTCAATCGGCCGGCTCAGGCCGCACTTCCTGGATGTGTGCAAACCCAACTGGAATCTCATCAACTGCTCTGCAGGGTTATACATTGAAAACTTCACCTGCACTGGAGACACAAAGATGGTCAACGAGGGCAGGTACGTGCCTCCAGACATGCACCGTTTTCCTTTGTTGGATGGAGTTTAGTCACAACATCCAGGGTGTAGTTTCTGTTCAGGGAATAATAAACAAAAAAAAAAACAATAGTGTATCTCTTAAAGAGGAATTGTCTTTTGGTTAACTAAAGCCACAGTCCTAATGTTAAACCAGTTTGGACTAGAAAAGAGGAAAATATAATTTCTCTTTATATTGAAAAAGGGAAACTGCATTGTTGGAGAAAGGAAACATTCTCCTTGTGGTTTAACATCCAACACTGAGATAGGAAGTAAATGCCGGAGGGTACAAATATGAATAAAACATCTATTAAATATAATTATTCTTCTCTTTTCCTTTGTTAATCTTTCTTGTTCAGGAACAGATTTTGCATTTTTGACAGTTATAGATATTTGATGGGAGTGAAATAAATCCTCCTAAAGTCTTCTGCTCGTATTGGTTTTAGAAGTGCAAAGGTTACGCGGTCACTTGCAGATCTTCAGGTTTTCTGCATAACAGGCCAGGCTGCAAGTTCTAAACAAGTCTTAACAGATACAGGAGCTAAAGAAATTCTCTATGCTGCTCAGATTAGCAAGATTTTAATCTATAATCCATAAATGTTAAGAATGCCCTGATACAACCTTACTTCTGATATTACAGTTTTGAGTAATGACCAGTACTAATAATGACATCATACATATAATCATACATACTTAAATACTAACTTTGTAGTTTTCGGTATGAAAAGGTTTGAGTGATATTTCTGAAAAAACAGACAAATTCAACATCAGGCATTAAAAACTGGCCCATTTATTATTAACTAACTGGTTAGATGAACTTTAAACCAAAGCAGATCAAAGTGTTTTTGTCAGCTTGCTTATGTCAGAGATTACAGATGCAGAAAGATGTAATCCAATATTTAGATTTGTTTTTGGGGGTTTTTTTTGGCTTAAATTGTACAGTTTTGCTACAGTTATATCAAATCTGTAAATCTCTACATGTTACACATTATCAGCAAAAACTACATCCCACTTATGGGTTTTGTTTTTATCAAAGATTTAAAAAAAATGTAGTTCATTTTTAAAAGCGGATATCATGTAAAGGGGAAACCAGTGTAACCGCATATGATGTTAGATAGATAGGCTGAGTAACACCACAGGAATGTAAAAGCTTGTTTTATTAAGTTTTTCCGTGTCTGTTATCAGCTCAGAGCAGCGGGAAGAACGTTGGGAGGAGAGGATTTCCTCTTCTCATTCAGCACAGAGGAGCACTGAGGGTGGAGAGACGAGGCGCATTATGTCCCCCTTTATTACTCGGACACCTTTGTACTTTTTAGGCTGCCCTTTTGTTTCCTTTACCAGCGCAAAGCTTCAGCCTCTGTGTCCTTTAGCTGCTTTTGTCTGTTCTCCCCCACTGCTCAGTTTTCACTGTTACCCACTGTATATTTACACGGGTGTGGTGCATCTTTGTTGATATTCCCATTCCTTATCTGCTTTCTGCCTTTTTACTAAATGTAGTGTGACCGCAGTCCCAGAGAGGGATCCAGGGATTCCGGCTGTGTTTGGACACAGATTTCCAGCTGCTTTATTTGGCGTGTTTAGGGTGCTGCAGATCAGAACAAGAGAGTCCAGGTCAGAGTGGCCTGCTCTGCATCAGCTTACAGTAACATGACTCTAGATGCCCAGGAGAGACAAAGCCTCAGGTTAGAGCGGAGTTTGTCTTTGCTAAAGTGCAGACTGACATTTGTTTATAAGATGCATATATTAAAGGAACACTAATACATTTGGATCACTGCTCCGTTTACTCATAGTTATTTTGAAGAACCTTCCAGTGACGTCCAGAAATTGGGATTAAAACCGACATCCCACTGTTTGTGATTAAACTAGGGCCCGAGATCTATCTTCAAAGTTTTTCACAAATAGACAAGAAAAAAAGGTGGCTTGCTTATTTTTTCCCCCACCATTTTACTTTGTTAACCTGGTGAGAGAAAAAAAAAACTCATAGCTCCCAGTGCCTTCAGAAGGCCTTATTCTGTTTAATCCACCACTAAAGTATATGGAACCACTGCAAATCTACTAGGAAACAGTCATAAACTGACAGGGTGGGCAAAAATAACTAACTACTCACTTGGGAGGAGCTGTAGACTCTGATAGCTCAGGTGGGAGAATCTTTCAGTGACTCCACAAATATCCCCTTTCCTGTCTTCAGTTGGTCAAACATTACGTAGGCAACATGTCGCTATTGAGGATTTTGGAATAAAATCCAAAACCGTGCAGAGGGAGCTAAAAAAAACAAAACATCACCTTGAAGCACAGTGGTGAGAGCATAATGCTGATGTATGCAGCCTGGCCATGGAAGCTGGAGGGATTGATGACATTGAATGCTGTTTGTAAAACATATTGAGTCATTTTCATTCAGGAAAAGGAACAACTTTGTGGTTGATATTTTCAGGTACCGGAGCCTCACAGGGAACGGAGAGCAGAGTTTGACTTGGAACATTAAATAAACTAACAAACCAGTCTGTAGACCAGACTGTCTGTCAGCTATCTTATTAGGAGTGACAGCTGTAGCCTGCTTTTTATTCAACCAATTAAAGCATTTGTGTTTCAGAAAGATTGCAAAGGACAGTTGGGGAGAGCAGACCCTTTCAGCCTCTCCTCTCCTTTGTTTAAACTAAGCCACAACAGGTCTCCGCTGGGCTACTCTATAAAGCTTGGAACTGAATGCTAATCCAGACATTTTGAATTAAGAAAACTTCCTGGATGGGAATCGAAATGTCTCCAAACTTGGAAAACAAAGTCCAGTGGTTTATTTTTTTTTTTTACTTTTTTGGAAAAATCTTAATGTTCCTGAGCCATGGTTTCTGTCTTTCTGTTGCAGATTGTCCTTTTATTCTGGTCACTCGTCATTCTCCATGTACTGCATGCTGTTCCTCGCTGTAAGTATGAAAAGTGTTGAATTTATTGCGAAAGGTACATAAAAGAAACTGAGCATCAACACCGATTATCGGATGATGGATTAACAGGATTTACCAATAAAGACATGAGATCTTGATTAGTTTAGCTAAGGGCAAATAAGTAAAACTGGTCAGAATAACCAGACCCTGACTGTAGATCATTAAAAGCTTAAATGGAATTATCTTGATTTTCGAGATAACATCCTTTTAGGTTTACGTATTAATAGAACCTAACGAATAAGGCGTTGCCGCTGGAAGTCAGACAATTGTACTCTTCAGTGTGACTTATGTTAACTTTGAAAACAGTTAACATGATGAGATCTTATTATTGAACTAATCATGCTGTTCTTTTGCAACTTCTTTTAGTCAACAGGAAATATCCCTGACATAGGGTGAAAGAATTATGAAACATTACTGGAAAAACAGATCTTTTGAAAAATTTTGCTAATTACATATGCTGCTTTAGAGTGTAGTTATTCCTGAAATGATCTGTTTGAATAGCTGTACCTGAACAGTTTTATATGTATTGTCCAAACATTACATGCATCAACAGCTGCTTGGTGTGGTCTGCCTCTGGCTAGGTGGCAAAGTCAAAGTCATGACAGCATTGCTCAATAACTTCCTCTTGATTTCTAAAGTCTGATAAAATGAGCTGTTAGATTAAAGATGCCTCAGTGCATGTAGATCCTCCTATTGTAGCACTTGCACAGTAAACTGAACTCAAAATCTGATTTACACGTTCAAACTGTAAATAGTTTAGTTGTTTTATAGTGAATACATGTATTTTTAACATGGCAAAGGCCTGCCGTCACTGCCGACCTTCAAACTCAAAGGAATTTTTTTCCCCTAACCTTTATACTGAACAGGGGTGGGTTTTTATTTTTGTTGTGACATATTTCTAGTCATGTTAAAAAAATGTGATTCTTAATTTAAACAATATATTAGAATTAGTGATGATTAAGAACAAAAATGTTGAAAATAGGTGAATTGTGAATTTTATCTTTCACTCTTTTATTGGAAGCATTGGCAAATTTGAAGACTATTACTATGGGATGTTTAATTATATAAATTACACTTCTTTATATAACTTGTGTCCTGAAAAGCCCATTTTAAATCTTTATATTTTTTTCAGATTAATGTTTGTGATTGTGGGGCTCTGATATGATACGCACACAGCTATACAGTTAGCATTATAATTATCACGATAGTACCACAAAATATGAGATTTTGAGCAATAATTAGTAATTCCCTAAAAAACTCCAGTATAAGAGAGAAACCTTTTAGCTGAGTTTATTGGTATATGGTTAGATGGGAGGATCTTTGCTAATTTTAACCCTTTTGTTTGTTTTTTTTTCCAAGCTGCAGCTAGATGTTATTTGCCAATGGATTTCATAAATATGTTGGGATCCATTCAGTCTCTGACACACGTTCAGGACAAACAGGATCCATTACTTGGTGTCTGCATTAAACAAGCTTTTTATGACGTGGAAAAACATGTCTGCTGTCATTGTTTCCTGCTGGAGTTTCACCCAAATGGGCTCAGTGTTGGATTTCATTTAGCTTTAGTTTCACCCTCTGGTACCATATGATCAGTACCCGTAGAGCTAAAGTTGTTCAGAGCTGGTTTTACTGCAAAGCCCCTGATCAACTTTATGAGCTGCTGATTCATTCAATGCTTGGATAGAAATAGAGCAGGGGACAAAGTCTCAGCATTTATGCATTAAGCTCCTTTCTTCTGTATCGGGCGGAAGCTCACTTATGGAAAGCAGTTTTTTTTTTCCTCAGCATTTGCGTCACAAAAGTGCAGCAGGAAGAAAATAAAGGCAGAGCTGGACAAAGGTTAAACTTGTTTGTCCTTGGAACAAAACCATAAATAATAGAGGGACGGCACATAAACAGGATCATCTCAGTAGAACGAGTTTGGCAAACATTCTGCTACAGATGTGAGACATTTACCACAAACACTGATGTAAAAATACTAATTTAGCCAGTCACACTTTACTGTTGACATATTTTGATTGTTGGTGTATTTAGTTTAAGTTAAGAGTCACCTTTAAATTTTACTCCTAAATTCTTCTCATTATGGTTCATGGTAAAAATAATCTGGCCGTGTTCCACAGCTCTACCTGCAGGCTCGGCTTCGGGTCCAGTGGGCGCGGCTGCTCAGACCAACCCTTCAGTTCTTCCTGATCGCTGCCTCGGTGTACACCGGCTTGTCCAGGGTGTCGGATTACAAACATCACTGGAGTGACGTACTGACAGGACTACTGCAGGGGGCCATCATGGCTCTGCTGGTGGTACGTTCTAATCTGTTATCTACCATTTCAATATTTAATCTCCAGTTGCATCTAGGTTGTCATTTAAACGTATTCATACTTCTGAGTTTTTTTTATTTTTACACATTAGCCTTAGACACTGAAAATTAACTTTTAAGCTGCATACAAAATGCTTTGTAAGCCAAAAAAAAAGAATGTACCAACCCACCCTAAAAAAATGATGGCAGCATCATGATGACGGGGTGGTTGTTTGGGGGCAGGGACAGAATGTCTGACTGAATCAAGCAACAGCCATGTCTGGTTGAAAATCAGACTTGGAACTAAAGCAGAGGTTCAGTATGTAAGATCTACAGTAGAATGGTTCGGATGAATGTATGTTGTACATTTCTGAAGCAGACATTTTTGTCTTTACATGTGTATAGAAACACATGATCTACAATTAATGATCCCTTTAGGATTAATTCAAACGCAGGCTATTTTTACAGGAAATTTGTTTTGTCCTGTTAAAACACATCTACTTTTTTTTTTTTTTTTAGGCCCATTACTTTAATAAAAAAATTTGGTCGGTGCAGCATTTATAAAACAATGTATTTTTTTTTTTTCCTGATTCTTTCAGGTCTTCTTCGTGTCCGACTTTTTCAAATCAGCAGAGTCCAGTAAGGAGATAGACATCCCTCATACGACGCTCCAGGAAACTCCAACAAATGGGAACCACTTTGAGAGTCCAAACTAAGCTCAGTGGGAATGGGAGACCTTTCCTTCCAACGCACAGCCAGAAATTCCAGCTATGAAGGCTTTAATCCCACTTAAATCCCCCATCCAGTACACTGCATGGAAGTCCAGTTCAAACTACCTGATCCTCTGAACCACATATGGCCTTGTTAAATTTCACATTTTCTACTAATTTATGCTCGTTTATCAACACTTAATATGGACCCTACCCCCCAAAATAACTGATGCAGATTTAAATCAGACGCTGGAGCTGATCTACTGAGGCGAAGGAAAACTTTGCATGCACACACCTAAAGGGTCTGACCACTGCTAAGGAGGGGTGTTGGAAACCTGTGAATGTAATCCTGCTTATTGCTTCTCCTGAACTGCAGTCAGTGTGTTTAAGAGTTTGATTTAGGGTTAGCTTTATGTCTCCAGCACTCAGAATTAAGTAGATGAAAAGTTTTAAAGGCAATCAGTGACTCACTGGAGGATGAGGCTGACTCTAAACCAAAGAACGGAGACCTGCTGCACATCCAGGCTGCTGCTGTCTAACCTCATATTCTAATCAAAGTGTTGACTTGTCGTTTTGGGTCAGCTTGATGCAGAGCAGACCGATTCGTCCTGTGATGCCTTGTACTGGACTGCTGTGGCTGCTTTTACAGCTTCCTGTGTATCTCATGTAAAACAAATACAGAACATTGTGCTTTTGTATGTTAAAGAAAATCAACATACAGACTTTTTATTGAAAAAGTTACAATTATGTACAAATGTTTAAAATAAGGAAAAATAAAGCCATCTTAGTCATGAAGACTGACTCGATGTTATCTGTTTGACGTATGAACCAGTTTGAGCAAAAAGCCCAATATAAGCTAAACTCTTCTGTTTTCTGACTAGTTTGGTGCTTTCAATCCAAAATAAATTTGTAGTGAGGATATGATGGAGAAAACAAATAAAAAAAAAATGGGGTAAAATGATTCAGATAACAGGGTGGAAGACGTCATGGCACCTCCTCTATAAATAGAGACTGGCAGCAAAGACTATGTCTCTCTTAATCTTCGTTATTCCTGCAAAAATAAAAACAAGAAAGGTTCAGTTTTAAGGAATGTGTACCTGTATGATATTTTGATTATGTTTGAAACAGCTTCCATCAACATTTAACTGTTTAGATTGCTGATCCTTCCTCACATGGAGCTGCACACTGCTCATCAGCTGGCTGAGAGAGAAAACTGCAGTGTATTCCAACTAAAGTCAAAACCTTTCTGTTTGGAGGTCATTCTGAACTTCAAAGGTGTAGAAACTAAAAACAAACTAACTGCAAAATCTAGCAATATTTAAGACTGATATCTTTATGTACTGAAAGGGGGAAATAGCTATGATTTTTTTTAAACTTCAATTTGCCAGATGTTAGCATTTTTGTTAAGGCCAATATATAAAAATGAAAGTGTTTTTTGTTTTGTAAGATCCTCATTAGCTTTATATAGTGCTTTAATAATAGCTGCAGCTGAAACAATCCTTGACCATCAGGAATAAATACGAATTAAAGCAAACTGAACAGTTTCATGGTCAATTTGGTTAAAAGTACTATTTTTATTCCCAGAAAGCTTTTACATTTCATTTGTCAACAAAAGGCTAAATACATCTTCAGTAAAGAGTATGTGGTTTTATGAGCATCAAGAGAAATGTATTCAGTCCCCCCGAAATAACCAAAATTTCTAAATCAGAAAATTATTGAATATAAAAGAACAAAAAATTCTGAACCAAACAAGAAGAAAACCTGAGCATCTTACCTTCTGCAAACTTGTTCTCCAATTCAGTGTTACCAATGGCTTTGGCTGCAGAGCACATCTGTCGCAGCACCTCTTCCAGACGTCGCATGCAACGAATTATGCTTCCTACAGAAAAACAATATTTAAAGATAGAATGAGGCACTTGCACAGAAATCTAAGAAAAACACAGCAGAGGTCATTTTAAAGTTAAATTAACACACAGCTGAATAATTGCAGAAATTTCCTAAGTTCGATTTTAGCTGCCAAAAAATACACAAGAGCTTATGAAATCCTCCCTGGAGTTTCTCAACACAGATTCATATTTCTTTTATGGTTCCATCCCATGTTTTATCCATGAGATCACTTTTAGCAAATAATGAAACTTCTGGGAAAAATGAGCCACATGATTCATCCTGTTTTACACCCCTAAAAGGCAACATTAAAAAAGGAACAGAGAGGAAAAAACAAACCCTCAAAGACGTCAGTCATCTTGCAGATCTGAGCGAATGTGGCCCCGTTGGCCCAAGCAAAGACTACATCCATCAAGTGGGGTTTGAACTGGTTCAGGTAAGTCTCCTCATCAACCTCCAGCTTGGCGTCTGCAGACACTTTGGCGATGCGCTTTGCACACTCCTAAAAGGTATAAGGTAGTGTTCACATCTCCACTTTAGCTAGAAGTCAGTCTGTGCACCTAAAGGTCTCACCTGCATTTGTCTGAGTGGTGCAGCCAGCTGTTCGGTTAGTTTTGGCATCTCACTGGCCTGCAGGGCGAAATAACCTCATCAATGGTCAGAAAACAAAACAAAAAAGCTATTTCCACCTTATATAAGCCTGCCTAAGAAGAAACAGAGAAACGAGGAAGCCTTGAAACCGAGATTATTTAAATAACTATTATCCAAAATTCAATTCAAGCTTTAGGGACTTATTTTGACAAGCTGAAAACAGTTTATGCAGGATAAAAGCCAGAGAAGAGCTCTACTCAATAATCTCACTCTAAACCACCTCGTTGTTTAAACAACAGGCTTCATTAGACAAGACAAACAAATCAACCTGTAGTTTGCTTTGCTAGCAGAGCAGTGAAACAGGCCAAGAACGCAAACTTGATCTGGACTCTGCCAGAAAGGGATTCTGATTGTGCTGGGAATGTTTGTGCAGAGAATTAGAGGAATTATGGGAGTTTTGTTCATACGTTCTCTTGGAAGACGAAGCAGGACAGCAGGGCAGTGGCTTGCTCCACAGTCAGGTCGTTGAAGAGGCCATTAAACACCATCTCTGTCAGCAGGAGCTCATCAGCGCTGCACAAGTCGACACTCAGGATTAGCACTTTGTAAAGCAGGATCACTAATGTGCTTTTCTTGTTCTTATTACACAATAACTGAGAGGAAATGTGTTGAAGGTTAGAATGAACGCTAAAATTTAAGATAGATCTTACAATTTAAACATTAAGAGTTTCTAAATGATAAACTAAATAAAAATCCAGAACTTTAAGCCAAAGATGACAAACTGAGGTAAAATTACACTGTTAGGAATGGGTAGAAATATTTTTGATTTGCCAATAAAAATAACAGTTTCGGAATTTTCCATATAAACAGCACAGCTATCTGCCATGTTCAACATTTTCTAAATGTTTTGGCTTCTGACTGAAATTACTCTTTAAATTACATTACTGTGAAATCAGATCATTTTGATTCCACTTTCATGGCTAGCAGACAAAGTAAACAAATCCATTTTCTGCACCGAACAGAGTTCAACAGTGGAAAATAACCCGAAAATATCCAACCTATTGTATGAATGGCCAGTGGCATGTAAATGCTGCAATAAAAATAACTACAGTTTGGATTACAAGGATGCTTTTAGTTTTCTCCTTACCTGCTGATTTCACAGGCGACTCTGCCTTTCATTTCAATGACGTCAGAGGGGCTGGCGAAGCCTAGCCTTCGAAGAACTCGCTTTCGGCACTTCAGCTCGTCCATCTGCAGGACGGTCCGAGCTTTCTTCAGCTCCCGTTTGGCGGTTCGAACCTCAGTCGCAATCTGCAAAACAAAAAAAACAAACAAAAATTGTTATTCTTTTACTATTATTTAATTTTCCTTTGGGATCAAGCAGAACTTTGAACTGAATTGAATTCTGATTACAATCCATTTTTTTAAAGCTTTTATAGAACAAGCAATTAAAAAGGGGTGAAAATATATTTTAAAACTGCACATTTTATCAGCAAGAAACAAGACAAGAGCTGTTGCTTCATGTAACTGAACTCACAGATATGCCTGCTGATAAAGAATTGTTAGAGAAGCAGAAAACAAACCGAAAAAAGAATTTCTGGTCCTATTTAGCAATATTTAAAAAAAACATATTCATTTCAGAAAACCAGGTTGTATCGTTTCAGTGGAAATGGGATTCAGATGAAGGACTTCTCTGTTATGATGCAGCTTCCAAGCTGGGACAACTTTACCTGTTTTTCTAAGCAAATTATGTAAACAAATAAGGTGAGCGCTGTGGTTTCAGCCATAATCGGATCACAGGAGGGAAATGAAAGAGCACCTGATGCTCACTTTGCTCAGCACAGGGGGTTACTATCACACAGGATGGTAAATGTGTTGCCGGGAAGATCAAACACTAAAGAAAATTTATACTTCTGAATTTTTTAACACTATAGAGAGATGTAAATAGTGGGGAAACTGAAAAATCGGATTTAGCAGACCAACTCCGACTCAACTTAGGCAAATTGTGATTACAGAGTTTCACCAAAAAGACATCGCTTTTTTAAACGTCACTTATTTAAGACAGATTTAACTAATCAATGTTCTCGCTCATGTAAGCACATCGTGCTGCTGATCATATAGTTTATTGAAAACACCATGACAAACGTGAATGTGCACAGCAGAAATTTAACTGAAAAATAAAAATAAAAGTACTGTTACCATTAATAAAGTCAGGGAGAGGGAAGCAGGGCATTGCTGAGAGATTAAATGTCACATTTTTCATCCTACAGAATATCTAGAGAAAAATTCCAACTCCACCACTTCCTCGACTCCAGCCAGCTCCTTTCTTTCCTGTCTTTATTCCTGGACAGACTGATTAATCCAGGTGTGTCTGACCTATGTTGTCATGGTTACTGAGGTCAGACACACCTGGATT